ATTCTGCCTATATATCATGCGCCGCTGTGCGGCTGCTGGTTGGGCTCGAGAGAGAGTCCATTAGGCACAACGGAACGAGTGAGTTCCGTAAGAACTATCGGCGTGGCCACTATTAGAAAACTATCTCAATTATTGAATAATTTTAGTCGTTGCACTTGCATTCAGAATTTCCAAACCACAAGCCTTCTATCTTCCCTATAAGCAAAATCCGACATTTTCAAATATCATTACGATATCGCATGGGGCTTGTAATATTTTGCAGCGGATCTGGACCATGGTGTATATTTTACAAGTGGTATTAATAAATGACGGGTGCGATGCTTTATGGGTAAACACTTTACAATATTAAAAATTCTCATAGTTGAAAACTTGTTTAAAGGCAAAAAAATAACCTCCCTGTAAGCGTATAATCTGAAGATGAAACTTACTGCCAACTAGGCGCGAGAAGGAATATTTTTGAATGTTCTCTATAAAATTTATTTGAGTCGAAAATCAAAGTAAAAAAATCATCTTATCTAAGTAAGCATTTCTTATGAAGAGTGGTTTTTGCAATTTTCCAGAAGGAAACTTGTTCAAAAGCCGGAATACCGGGACTGAAATATCTTGTGATTATGCTGTGTGATAGTTATTCTTGCGACCCTACTTAAGTAGTCTTTTCTAATCAAAGCCACATTTCATAATTTGGGCTAGCATTTCGTGAGATTGCGCATCTGAATTAAGTAGCTTTTTCCGTAGAAACAGCCTATAGAACGGTTTTCGGCCTATCATGATAATTTACTAATTCTAATAGACTAAATTCATGACTGGGCTGACAGAGGCCGCTCCACGCAGCAGAGGTGAAATAATGCTTATGTGTAGACGTCGTAAAAATGCAACGACTAGCTGAAAATAATAATCGGACATATTTTTAACTCTGCATGCAAATAAAGACTCCTTCCTCGTAAATTATAGTCTTTGAAGTTGAACCTGGGTTTCCTGCGAACTGCGGGATTCCGACAGTCGAACGAGAGAACAAGGAGGAAGCTGAGAGAAGAAAAACTCGCGCAACGCCCAACAGTTGGTCCTGGCATGTAAGTGGCTGTCTGCTATTACTTAATACACCAGTGTCAAGTAATTAAATAGTGGTAGAAGCAATGCAGTATGTTCTATCCTTAGAACATAGGTTATAAGTAATTAAAAAGAAGCAGTAGCAATGCAGTACGGTAACAACGATCACGTCCTTCATTTGATACTACCTACGACATTGATGCCTTGATAGTGTGCTTGAAAATCAGATGAGAATGAAGTTCCCAAAATGGGATCCCTGAAGCTAAGCATCCGTTGCCTTTCGCGACGCCGCGCCTCTCGCCAGTGCTTGCACATGCGCACCTGTGGCGGTCTGATTCGCGACCAATCGCGGCTGCCCAAACCGACCAGTCATCTTCAAGGCCGACCCAGGTGTGCTCCCGTACAAAGCGTGACGTGATACATTCCCCGCTGACACTTGGAATGTCTCTCTCCTGGCTGCCGACTTACTCCGACGGGTTCTTTGATCGTTCTGCACAGAATCCGGCATCCTCTCGACTGGTGCCCAACACCTCTTTCTGTTGGAGACCAGATCTGAAGGTCGTAGTGGTTGGGGTCTGCCTATGGCCTTAGCTGCTGTGACGCAACTGCCAGACGTGATTCATCTCGGTAAGCAAGAAGTCCACACGCGAACTCATCGTGTTTGTGTAGATAGGAAACGCGGTCGCTCACAACTTACCATGATGTCATTAAATAGACTCAGCTCATAGAGTGCTAGCCATGATTCTGATTCAGTCAAGCAGAATAGTTCCTTCATCAGTGCCAACAACCGAACGTCCTTATCAGTGTACGCGGATTCTTTACTTTCTGGTGAGCGGAGATCATATTCATCCCATTAATGGACCTACACAGGAAGATGCGTGTTGACCACTTTGCTATGCCTTTTAATTATACAAAATTTCTATTGCTGCGATGATTGCCGTGGCAGTATTCAGAGGACCAGTTGACGAGCATACGTTTGCGTCTAACAAATTCTCATCAGATCAGCACACATATATAGGGGAACGGGGTAGAGAAATCGATTAAAATTCGTGGATATGTGGTCTTCTGAAGAATTTTCCAGTTATAGGATCTGACAGTTACTTTCCGAAATCGTCCTCATCCATTTTTGTTTAAGTTGATGTTTTTAACCGTTTCGCTGTTAACTCCGAATCCGGTAGGTGGCTCAATTTCACTAGCTGGCACCTCAAACATTAGCTTCGCTTACTATTTGGCGTCGGCGAATTCAAGGCCATTTCTAACGTGGCAGTTTAGCTGAGCTGACTTCGACCGCTGTTAGCGTGGGATCGACCTATGGGTAACTGTGACTTGCGGAATAAGTGCAATTACAATCAGATGTGTTGAGGACACTCTTCCAGTCTGATCAGGAGACTCCCAAAGTAGTGCATGCTGACTTCAGTGGGTCTCTTCAAGAGCAGAATTGAAGATGCCACAACTCAAATCTACGCGCAATTTAGCATTTTGCTAGCCAATTCCTCCAAGCTTGGAAACAAGTCGACAAAACTACCAATGGAATCGGGTTAAGTATATGCCACTGATTCATAACGCGGCTGCAGAAGAACAAATTCTCCGCCCTCCAATTGGCTGAATTGGGGGAGGGGGGGGTTGATAATGCATGCACTCTAATAAATTCGACTTTTAATGAAATTTCTCCTCTCAGACTATACAAATGACTGCACTTTATGCTAGTTTTATATAACTGCACGTAAAATTTCATATGTACACTGAAAAGACCACCTGCCGCACCCTTCGCAGTCCCGCATAGTGGAAACGTTTTCCGTGAACAAATATGTTACTGACAAAGTTTTAGTAAGATGAACATTTAGCATTTCTATGTTATGTACCGTTTTCAATAGGGTCATCAGGGGCATTGCCTATTACCCTAAAATACACTATTATTATTTTTTTGCAGTTATTTGAAAATGGAAAAAAGAGCAACGCCAAGCTTTGTAGATGCAGCCACCTCGTGGGTCAGGTACAGACCAGTGTGCGTTGAAATAAGACCACGGCCCGTAGCTCAAAATGCCAATTGCTTGCTGTCTTCGACAGCCTCTTTTTAGTCCGCTGCGAATTAAGTGTTTTGAGGGGATGCCCCGGAAGCTATGAACATGCGCTTGTAAGATAAAACAATCTGCTCCTGAGGAATGACAGATGAGTCGAGTATGATTAGAAAGTGCAAACCAGAGGAGACGAATGTGAGGTTGCAGTTCTTCATCAAAGGTTTACTTTATCCCTTCGAACTCTGCGTCTTTGATAACAGTTAACTCAGCTTCAGAGTAGAATGCAGAAAGTAGTATAGATGGCAAAGATAATAAAGTGACGGAAATGGCTCCGAGTTGTAAATATCTGGAAGACTTTGAACGTTTATCGTGGGAAGAATATTCAGTAAACTACCCGATCTTCTAAACTGGTTGCAAAGGCAGCCCAATGTGTGAGTCTGTTTAAGAATTTGCTTTAGCATAAACCTGCTAATCTGCTCTGAACCATGCATTTTAGATGCGCACTACTAGTACATTTGTTGCAACTGATTAGTGAATACCCCTATGACGTTTTAGACAGCGGGATGAGTGAGTGTCGTAAAAAAACGATCGGTGAGCTCCCCTCTCTCATTGTATATTCCCGGTCTCAGCCGACATGGCAACGGGCCAGTGGCTCAGTGGATAGAGGCGTTGGACTTCTAACTAAGAGGTCGCGAGATCGAGGCCCAGGTGTTTCCCATCTCGGGATCAGGTATGCTTGACGGACGACGCTTCATACGCCATAAATGGCCATCCCAGTTTCCGTTGTCTTTGTCTCTGCCTAAATCATACGCCGCTGTGCTGCTGCTGCTGGTGGTGGGGCCAGAGAGCCCGTAAGGCACAACGGGACGACTGTGTTCCGTAAAACCCATCGTCGCGAGCGACCCGTAAAACCATCTCAATTTTGAGGACTGCCTCTGGAGTGTGCAATATGTGTTTTCTTCACGTTTTAAGGTGGGCTTGTGGTCGGACCGGAGAGGAGAACATCCCTTTTGTGGCGGAACGCTCATCAGCCCTTCCATCGTCGTGACTGCGGCACACTGTATCGGCGGTCTCGTTGGTTGCAATGACTTACCAGTAGGAAGACGATTTAGCATACCAGCTACATCAGGAGACCGACTTCACATACTTGCCGGTGCTCATGATTACACAGAAGCTGGTACATCTGATCGGTTGCATCTCGTGCAGTATGTGGTCGTTCACCCACAATACAACAACAGCCTGCCTGAACAGGGTTATGACATCGCGCTATTAAAGCTTTACGAGGATGCAAGACCAGGTACTTTTACACACTACTGCCTGTACTATTTCACTAAACTGGGAGGCTTGACGCACATCAAGCCTCCCAGTTACCAGTCTTACATCCACTCACATAACCGGCACCAACTCAAACTTGTTTATACTACTTGTAACTAGTTAGTAACCGTTATTGATAACTCTTTTTGATTAGTTATCAGCGATTATGTACAAAACACATTTTTTCACCTTCCCACTATCCATGTTTTTCTCCGACTACTTGTGACCAATAGGGAGTTCAAAGGCGCTCGTCTATATTTCCCTTAATAAACTGAAACTGCTATTAGCCGCTAGACTTCATATCTGATGCAAATGCGTCCTCATGACCAATCATACTGGCATGTATAAATGTATGCATATGCCTTCTCACCCATAGGCTACTATGCATTGTAGCGTACTCTGAACAGTGCCATGTTTACTTCCCTGTTATCCTGATAACGACGTCAAAATAATACAGCGCGGTCTATCTGCTTTCCGTCCAATCGCGTGAGGCTACCGCGTGGAACCATTTGCTACTTCGCCGGTTGGGGAGGACTTTACAAGAAACGGTCAGGAGGCACACTGGTTTTTCCGAAGACGCTCAGAGAAGGCCAAGTCCAAATTGAGTCAGATGATCCCTGCATGGAAGACTTCGAGCTGTACCGCAGCGATCGCCATTCATGCATAAGAACAGGGGGCCCGGTACGTTACAATGGCTTCACAATTCATGGCAAATTTGTGAAGAATCGACTTCTGCAACTATATGTAATACTTTATAGCAGTGTTAGTAATTATATGCCCCTTCGGTGACGCAGAGTCCTCTAGCTGTGGACGCACGAATTGTCACGCACGTCAAAGACGGCGAATACTTGCATAACTGACACGAGATGTAAATTCATTCACAGATGACTACTGTCTGCATCGATTCGTTTTAGCGCAGCACTCCTGTCCGTTTTACACCTCCAAATTGACTTTTATGTGCGCTTCAGAACCCGTGTATGGGAGACAGCGGCGGTGGACTATTCTGCCATTCGCATAACGACGACGACAACAGGTGGTTCTGGTACGGATTGATAGAGGGCGGAGCGGATGACTGCAGGGGTCGCTGTGCAGTTGTCGGCAATGTCAAGGCAACTCACGGATGGGTGAAACAAAGTGCGCTCAATCTAGGTTTGTAATTTGTCAGTTGCCTGAACTCCCCTCTTACTGAATAAAGTAAACCTTGCCCAGAAATGAACTTCTAGTGTCGTATGTCAAAAAACCAAGTTATCCAAAAAATCCGAATTAACGAACTTTCGTAAATATGCTCTGCACCTGACATGCGATCAGGAAAAAACACTGTCGACGAGGGACTCCTGACGAATGTTCCACTGACAGTTCAACGGCGTCCCCTGGTTAGATCTGGAGTCATGAGTGTTTTGTCTGGCCTGGGGGAGTGACCATTGCCTACCTGACAAGATCCATAGGATGAACCTAAATCCATGAAATGTTTGTGCTGGCAAAGACCCCTTTTGAAGAGGGAGACACGATCGTTGGGACAAGGGCCTTATTAGCCTGACGTTCCGTATTTCTGCTCGAACCCATCATCAGAGATAAAAACAGATACGTGTAGTTCATGCACAAGGGGCTGCAGTCTTTATAGGATGCAGTTACCATGCTACCGCATACCTATGAACATTCATGGCTCCCCCCTTTATTCGGGATCGTTGCACTTGGTGTGCTAATTGCTTGATGGCCGACATTCGCGTCGTTAATTGCTGCAATTTCACCACATGCGTTGGGTGTTGGTATGATGACTGCTCGAACATCTGACGCACCGACCCTGGTGTTGAGAAAAGTGGATTCGCACACAGACCGGAGGCAACCATCAGGCGTCTGGTAATGAAACCGAAAGACCCGCTGCCACGTTAAGAAATGTCTGCAGTCGTTTATCGAATCTGGTGCATTTTCGGACAAGGCAACTACGTCGGAGAAACCGGAAGACAGCTCCGAACGAGAATGGCCAAACACGCTGCAGCGGTGCGGAGAAATGACGCTTGATCTCAAGTTGCGGCTCATTCGAAGAGATCTTGCCACACATTCAAATTCCCCGAGACCAAAATTATCGCAAGTGGTGACAACCGTGTGAGCCAGGATCTACTTAAATCATGATTTACTGGCCTCCAGTCCATTAACAAGTACAATGAACTTCCCCTTGCTTACTCGGTGCTGAAACTTCGCCTAGGCGGAGTAATTAACCACGCGGGCAGCGCACAGGTGAACACTTTTCCCAACATCATGGTCGGTGCGTCAGATGTTCGAGCAATCATCATACCAACACCCAACGCATGTGATGGAATTGCAGCAATTAACGACGCGAATGTCGGCCATCCGACTGCCGGCACACCAAGTGCGACGATCCCAGATGAAGTGGGGAGCCGTGTATAGGTATGCAGTAGCATTACAACTGCATCCTATAAATACTGCAGCCCCTTGTGCCTGATCCACCCGTATCTGCTTTTGTCTCTGATGATGGGTTCGGGCAGAAATCCGAAACGCAAAGCTTTTTTTCCAACGATCGTGTCTCCTTCAAGTTGACTTTATCCTATAAATTGACCGTGTGCGGTTGAATAAGAGGTCACGAAATTTAATGAAGACAACGGATTCTGTATATATTGTCGCCTTTGCCGTGTTATTTGCGGAACTGCCAATGACAGTATTCAGAAGTATAACTGGTGAAACTAGGAGCACCTGCGCAACAATGCCCTTGGACTGCCCTAAGCTACCAGGCCAGTGCCTGCTAACAACAGCCGAAGCGGCCGCAATCAAGTTGCGAAAACCAACCTTATGCGCTCAAGATAACCTCTTTCAGGCTCCACGCTTACCGTGGTCGAAAGTCGACTAACTACATACACCACTCCACGCCCCTCTGCTCACACCGGTGTTTTTGCAATGAGCTTCGATCGACTTCTTCTAGCCACTCGACACGTTTGAGCTGTACCCTGTACCTATATAACTGTACTGATCTGACGAGAATTTACTGAAAGCCAATGTATGCTCGCCGACCATTTTATCAGAACGATGTATGAATTTGTGTAACACGGCTGCGATAACATGCGTCAGGGAATTACATTGTGATGACGAAATATTTGCTGATGCTATCAAAGTCTGCAGTATCGCCCGAAATGAATTGGACGAAGGTCTTTGCAGGCGAAACTTAACTTACTTAAGCAAAGACTAGCTTTTGCCGACTAGCGTAACCAGTTGTAACTTTCTACGAGTCGGCGGGACTAGATCTCCAAACCGCATGGTCTACCGCCTGATGGGCATGTCATGGCATGCAGTTGGTCCCAAGAAGGCCTTGGGTTTGCGGATTGTAACTTAGTTTAAACCTTCGCTGCACTGCTCAAAGGTAGTCAATTCAGCAGTCGCATTTGGAGTTTAAAATCCAAGCATGGAAACCATGGGTTGTTTAATACCTCAACATATTTCAGAAGGCGCAACGGCGTGCAACCAAACTCCGCAACTGGACAAAGCTAATTAGCGTACGAAAAGTGATTGGCTAACCTCAGTTTATTTCCCTTGAGTTAGAAGCAGCTATCGGATGACCTCATACAAACTTTCCACATCATGCATGGTTGGAAGTGCTGTTTTGTTCCTGACGACTTTGCCGAATTAGCAACTTACGAGGTCATCCAAACAAAGTACGTGGGACCGTGTCAGGCTGGACATACGGAAGTTTTTTTTCTCCAAGAGAGAGGTTGAAGTTTCGGATGCTTTGCCTGCGGAGGTTGTTGTGTTTGCATCTGTAGAGGCTTTTAAAATGAAGGTGGATCAGTACTACAGTGCGGACAGTAATGCCACCCGACCGCGGTCTTCACCGAGCTTTAATTATTGCTGTTACGATGCTACTATTAATCATTAAGTAACGTTTGTTAGTAGAATTTGATAACTGGTGAGACTCAGTGTAATCTACACTGACATTCCCAACGACTCTTGGAGACCGCAGATCATACTACTTTCCCTGTACTATAGGTGTGCTTCACCTGTCTATTTAACTACGCACCTAGATTTGTAAATATACATATTCCAACGATGATGGCGCGTGCAATACTTCGTTTGGTTGTACATCTTTTTTTCATATTTCCATTGTGGCTCTTCGATGCTGCCTCTTTTCCAAAGTGTGGTATACTCCTGCTGCATGTTAGGAAACTGGCAGTCCAAAGGCGTAAATTTGCACTTTCCTCAAATATTAGTATGAGCATATTATAATCAGGATAGACAGACAGCTGCAAATGTCATGAGAACAAAAGGCTAATGTTTTGCTTCTTTATATCAAAGAACCAAAATGCATTGAGTGTTGAAAGCATATTGTTTTATATAAGACCCAGAAGAGTAGACACGGAGTCTACACTCCGTCACTGGTTTTTGGATAGAGGGCAACGAATCTTGCCCAGATTTCCTCCAGCTTGCCTAACTGTTCGCTAACCTGGTAAACTGTATGTTCTGCAGGCGCTCGACTTTGACCAAATCTCGGTTCGAGTAATGCGGGTTGTCCATTAACCACCGGTGGAATTATAGCAGATTGTGCCAGTTCAAAAAAAGCAAAAAACTGACTGTGTACAGCAGAATTAGCACAGCAACGTTTAAAAAACTGTTCTGCTTGTCTTCATATCAGATGTTCTCTACAGAATAAGCGCAATTTTGCCGTATTAAGACGACAAAAATGTATTTGTTTAGTTCGGAATTAATATCCATCAAATTTTGCGAGAGAATTATCACTCCACTGTGCCAGGGAAGATCGAAATTCAAAATAACTTTGATTGACTATTCTTCCAATGGTTTGCGTGAGAAAGGTTCAGTTGTGACTTAAAGTAATGACCCTATTTTTAGAGTGCAAAATTTCCGGGCTGACGGTCAACCTGATGCTACAAGTAGGAGGAACATCAGTAAATTCTCCAGACTTGAAAAACACTCAGTTTAAGCTAAGTTTCGGTTAGTTATGCTAACTGTTCAGTGTCCGCTGCTGGATTTAAGTTACATACAGAAGTCAAATATTCTGGAGGTCTGTACAGTTGACGACCAACAAATGAAACATATCCAAATACACGGCGAAATCTCGTAAAATCGAAAATCTTCGAATTGAAACTCAACAAGAGACATAGGTGAAATGTAATGCGAAGCGGATAATAAAATGGCAAAACAGTCTGAAAGGTGACATTAAGGTGCGCAGAAGTAACAGATTTTAGGGGAAGCAGAAAATCTGATCAGGTGAAAATTCCTCTTCTTATCAATTGTCCAAATAAGTAGCTGTTCAGTCTGGAGTATTGAATATAAGACTTGATCAATAAGATCTGTTAACAGTTACTACCTTTTTTATAAAGAAGATCAAAGGCCCTATGAACATTCTTTACGTTAACAATGATGGGCTAATGTCGTTTCCAGCAACGAACATCCATCAGTTTCCACCGTAGTTTTCAGCAAAACGCAACAATTAAATCTTACGAGGTTTGTAAAGCGAGCAACCAGCGGACGCACCGTGGCTAAATTTACAATGCTTCTGGTGAAACACTTGTAAAACATCCTCGATATATAAATTATTGTTAGAAAGCGTGAACTTTTGCATCTGAATCTTAAAGTCGAATCTAAGTACCAAACGTCTCCTCCAACCATCTATCCATCACTCTGGTGCCGCGATATTTGACAATGCGAATATTTTTTCCAGGCTTAACGTGCCACCAGTTAGGGAGACATCGGTCTCAGTTATGCAAACCATCAGCCGCAGGATCTTCAACTGAATACATTAATTGAAAGATCTCGATGCCTGTACGACTAGCGTATAACGGCGAAACATGCCCAGGATCCCGAAGACGTCTAACAATCGATAGCCGACCCAACTGAAGTCGGCAAGAAATCTAATTGAAATTGAAGCAAATCTAGGCAAGGAAAGTTGAATGAAGGTACGAAATGCGACATTAAAATGGTCTGCAATAACACTTTTCTCGGAAAAGTATGAACTTTGGATAAGCAAAAGATCATGCCCGATTAGGCGACTTAATTTGTATAAGTGCTCGGTCCATGCCCATGCGCACAAATGAACGCGCAAGATGGAATACACAGCAAATGTGAGAAGCCCTCTTAGCTAGGTACTACACATGGCAGCTAGTTAACGGCTTCCCGTTTGGCAGCGTTGTTCAGAGTGGCACACAGATTCGGGAGTCGAAATTCTCCATTTCTAGCAGGCAATGGACCAGAACAAAAAGGACTTTGCTTAGTTTGTTGGCCTTGGATTTCTAAAGGATAACATCCGCCATGAAGAGGAAAAAATTAAACATTTTTGCATATATAATCATAGACGGTTGTTCAACACACCTTGATGCTTCTAGACGGGATGAAGCGGGACTCGCGGGATTTTCTCAACCCCCCAGGATGACGATGTTTTGTAGAGTCTTGAGTTCTGCGTTCAGGTGAATGCACGTTTTCACATGGTCACATATCCGGAGGCCGGTCAACGATGAAAAGGAATGAAATGTTATTTAGAGACTTCCCCATATGCATGTCATTTCGAAAGTGTACATGGTAATCATATTCCGTAAATTTGGTGAAAGATTAGGATGAAACACGTGACATTGTGGGCGCGATTGAGATTTCATGCGCTTTTCGATGTCTACTCTTGGTTCCACAAAAGTAGCCTTTGGTTAGATCGCAGTTGGTAGCCGTCCCTTTACAGAAACCTCCCAGCTACCTGATCAATAGAAAGGATATACGCGTCTGGTGGACGAAGGTTATCGGCATTTGACGGTTAATCATTCCGTTAATTGTGTCCATCCCATAACCAAGAAAAACACCAATGCAATAGAAGCCTACTGAAGTAGGTTGAAGAGGAAATTGCGCGAGCACGGTCCCATCCGTGGAAGGAACATCTGGACTCACGTAGACGAAGCGCAGTACCGTTTATGGTACGGCGTGAAGACAGACAGCTTGCCGGAGGCCTGGGAATTGTTCCTGAGGACTACCCGGTTGGTGACCGCAGTTGTACAGTGCACGACGAAGCGCATCAGACGCAAGGGTAAGCATCTGTACTGTTGACATAACCCATTGTGGTAGGCAAGTACACGCGCATTGATCGCCACCCCAGCGCAATGTCTGACGGACGGACAAAGCTGAAGAAAAGCCACAGACAACTGAACGTAATGAAGGCAAAATGATATGCCGGCATTTTTCACGTCAATAGTGAACTCATTTCTATACCAAGTACCGGCTTCGTTTCCTTTACTTGTTCAACCGACCGGTGTACGAATAGGAGTGCAAACGGGATGAGGACGCATGCTCGAAGTAGTCGCACCGCCTACCTGGCATAAAACCGGCTAAGAGATTCCGCGGAAGCTCCGAAGAGGACGAATGGAAGGTCGATCGAAAACCGCAGGCTGCCTCCGCAAGCGATCGCTAACGGACTAACCTGTAGCCGGCGGTGATCGTAAGGACGGATAGTAAACCTCTGGGTCTGAAGGGTAGGTGTATGGAACGCCTTGCTGTTTTAGTCTGAACCCTGAAGGCAGTAAGTGCGCGATGTGGTAGGTGAAGTGCGCACAGATGAAGCCCACCACTGTCGGAACGCCGGAGTCATAATGCTTTAACGGGAAAGTGCAGCAAACTATCGCTAACTGGCCCTGGCGGCGTTTACAACCCGTCCCAGTTTGCAGCCCAACCCCGCCGACGAAATGGAACCTGGGTGTTCGTAAAGGGGGGGGGGTGCAGTTAGTCGGTACGACTGAGAGGTAGAGTATCGGTAGACGTCCCGACTGCGTTCTGGCTGTCCTTTCGTGCACGATCACGCGATATTCCCTTGGAAGTCTCGGGTAAAATGACGGAGGGACACAGGTAAACCGTGGAGACGGTGTGGTCATACTCTGTGCCCGGACGCATGAATGCGAAGTTGAGCAGTAAACGGTATGCCGACGCAAAAAGAAGGATAAGCTAGGGAAGTGGATGGATGAGGTAATCGAAAGTAATCTCGTCTAATAGAAGCCTATACAAGGCAAATGACATTGTCATCGGTACGGGCAGGTAGCCTGTAAGGCCGTAAAGCGAAGACCCGCTGCAATCCGTTGAGGGAAGTGTCACTACAACGAATCTAAGTTACCGCAAGCAGTATAACGCACAGAAGAAAAGCGAGCATCGGGATATGTTCATCTGTGGCTGTCAAACTTTAAGGGGGTAGGGTTGCCATCCCGCTTCCCTCTCCGGCATGTTGGTCCAGGAGGGCCAGTGCGCGTGCGCATTAGAAGCATAATAAGGACGTAATCACACCTACTGAAATCGAGCAAGTAGGTACAATCGTGGTTTCATTGGACCTGACTGTCAATTGCGATCCTACTAAGCCTTTTATTGATGCTTGCATGAATTTCCAAGCAATGCCAGTTCCTGAAAAGCCCATAAAAGGGACTCTGTTGTCGAAATTTTAGCATGATTTTCGAATTTTCTGACCACATTTATGAACGGCGTACACTTGTGTGATAGTAGACTATTTGATAATAGTACTGTTCAGGGAAGGCACACGTCTGCGCTTTGTATGCATCACCTAAATTCATTTTAAGCCAAGTTTGCA